ATCAAAAGGTTTTAGTATGAGGGAAGAAGCGAACGATATTTTTCCAAACATGATTCATAAGCGAAGGAATGAACGAAGTTCAAGATAAGTAAAGAAAGGCTTGGAGCCAACATCGGAGTAATAACATCGGAATATTCATGAGTTAATCCATCAAGGATTTGTAGAATAACATCATTTTCGGAGACACCATGCCCTATATCTTGTAGAGAATCAACAAGTGATTTGACATATCGAAGAAAGTCGGGCATAAAACGAGTGCTCGTATCGGTTTTCATAGAGGCTTGATAGAAATTGGTATGAAGTTCCATGTATTTGGCATTGACATCATGAAAGAGGCGTTCAATATCTAACCATGTTTCATGAGAGGTAAGAAAAGCATCGGGACGAATGATGCGCTTCACAATATCGGAATTAATTGTGGCGGTGATCCAAGACACAATGACATAGTCAACTTGCTTCTACCGAGAAAAGGATGGATTTAGAGGCATATTGCTTGGTCGCATCGGTAATATACCGATCGGGAGGAGGGAAGGTATCATCAACGTGATGTGTCACTTTATGACAATTGAGAATATTCAAGAAAAGAGACTTCCGGATGATATAATTTGAGAAATCTAGGGTTTTAAGAATATAGTGCTTGATATTGGAAACCCCTAGAACAATGGGAGAGGATGTTTGTGGGAGAGAAGAATAAAGAGGAGCAAAAGATGAAGGAGGAGTAGAGGATAAAGAAGATAGGGTAGCAACGGATGGGGTAGCGATTGTATTGGTTTCCATGGAGAAAGAGTTGTTTATTTGCCTTAGGGAAAAGAGCTTTGATACCACAAATAGAATGAGAAGTTGATGCCTTTGTGTTAGGTCATCTTTGTATTTATATGTAAAGATATTATAGAGATTGAGTATCATAAGGTTTCTATATCTAGCAGCATAGTACAAGTATATATATATAGTACATACACATTATTAGTTAGTACAAAACTATAACGTGTTAGTTGATATTGACTTTGTTATTATTTAACTATTTCGGGAGATGAAATAACTCTAATAGAAAAAAAAAAAAAAAAGAAGTTAATCATAGATAAAATAAAAAATTAGACACTCAAACAGATTAAAAATAAAAGGTTAGACACTAAAGTTGTACTTTTTTTTCTAATTTCGAATGAGAATTAATTTTTTTACGTACAAAACAATCGCGTGCTAATTGATATCAATCATATCAACATTTAACAGACCTAGTAATTGAATGCACTCAAATAAAGAAGTAAAAAATTGATTACTTAGATAGATAAAATAAAAGATTAAACACTTAAACACAATAATAATCAAAGTTTGAATACCAACAATCACCATCTTGTTTTATGCTAACTATTCACATGTTTTGTTTGTAGTAAATGTAGCAAATTGGCCACAAACTATTTGCAAACAAATTAATCTCGTATCGTTTAGCTTGCCTGGCTTTGGACATATTATGTACCTGCAGTAACTCTATGAGCCTATATATATATATATAATTCAAGCTTACTTTATGTAAATTAATGATGTGGTTAATCTTTTATTACATCGATAACAAGATTTGGTTAGCAATAGAAACTCTATTGTCTGCCTCAGCCAGCTCCTCATAATGATTTTTTTTTTCCTTAGCTTTTCATTTGTTTATTGTTTTCCCCAATCTCTTCTGGTCATTAGTCAAGCCTTGCATGCTAATGTATTTTTAAAAAAAAACAAGAAGAAGAAGATGAAGAAGTTATAGCTCATTTCAAACCATTATATAATTAAAATCAGAAGTACAATAGCTAGATAGATCATTTGCATATCATCTTAAGATTGCTTCCAATTAAATTAATTATTCTCATAATTAACCCCATAATAAAAAAAAGTTTTTCAACATACGGCACATGTTCTTATCATGTTGGCTATAGAATCGTGGTCCCTTATATATATATATATATATATAATAACACGTAGTATTTGTATGGATGCATAATAATTTTAATTTGGCACCCTATGTATGTGCCAACTAGTTTACAGCTAAATGCCACTATATGGAAGCACAACCTTAATTTGTGTCTTGAGGATCGATAATTGAGAAAAGAGACCTTGGAAGCATTCCACATTAATAAAGCAGTCGTACGCTTTGGACAGCTTTTTCTAACTCCCATTTCGATGGTTCCCATTGCAACTATATAATTAACAATTAGTGATTCTATGATTATCAATAATTGTACATTAAATTTAAAATTCCTCTTCCACATATAATATTCTAAAAACTACATAGTTATGATCTTGTTTTTGAAACAGAAAATTTTATCCGATATATATATAAATTTCGGGAGAAGCCACATATGCACGATTAAAAAAGATAAAAAATATACATAACATGAAGAATGAAAGAGAAAGGAATATTTCATGATACAAATTAAGAGAAACGATTTACCTGTAAATTAACATGGTTTATTAATTAAATTTCTTAAAAAATGCATAACATTTGGCTTGATATAAAATTGGATATTACATAGTAATCCATATTTACAAGTAATTTAACTTTCAATTAGTGTATCACTTTACATTTAATTAACTAAATTTACGTTAATTAGTATTTTAACTACCAAATCAAAATCCTAACATATATAGATGTGATGGGTTTTGTCTAAACACGTATGAATGTGAAAGACTAAATATTTATCATTGTGTGTGATGTGATGTGAGGTCAGTATTTTGTATATACCTATCTATCTTTAATTTTTTATTTTTTTTATAAAGAATTAATTATACTTGACTAGTTAATGCATATCCAATTAATAATTAAGCCGCCCAGAAAATGATAAAAACAGGGTATGCCCCATCCTCATCTTCCAAGTGGAGTGGACAAGGAAAAAATGAAAATGCCAATATTATCCTTTCAATTGACGAAGGATGTTTCGCGGCAAGGACAAAAATGCCCATCCATTCATGTCTTTAATTGCGTGGAGGGGAAGTCAATTCCTAACGGTATCTATCCACCGACCACCGACCTACCCTTGCCTTTCTTTACAAAACTATTGCTATGACCCAAAACAACAAAAACAAAATAGAAATCTCAATATAATATCCCGTGTCTATCTATCTTCTCCTCACCACCATGACACAATCACAATTGTTTTTTCTTAACTTTTGAATTCCACCTCGCTTGCCTACAAAACGACGACACCTCCCACCACCACCACCCCCTAATTTAATATTAATATTACATGTTTTCTTTGTTTTTTTTCCTTTTTTGCTTCCATTGATATTTATTAAAAAACTTATAATTCAGTAATAGTAATTTCTTATAATAAGAGGTTACGAATTCAAATTTTAACAAATTAGTTATATTAAAAACTTTTAGTGTGTGAATTAAAAAAAATTTTTGGTTGATTTTGTCTTATTAAATCTCAAAGTTTCGAACAATTAATTAAAATCATTAATTAATCAAATATTTAAAAATTACAAAAAAATTAGAACTTAATGTGCACAAGATTTCTTACTACCTTTTTAATCATATTCCTAAATATATCTTAAATTTAAGCTCCAATAAGAATATAGTAAAATTTCCTTTATATATAGTGAGTAAATCTATTTTATATTAATTTTAATGAATCGAATATAAAATAAATAATTATTAGACATACTACTACATTCTAGAAAAAACAAACAAGAAGACATACTTAATACTGCTAACTTCCAGAAAAACAACATACTACCAAAAAACTTTAAATAGAAAAATATTGAATTCATGACTACAAGGAATAATTTTTTTAATAAATACATTATATAAAGCATAGATATTTTGTTTAAAATACGATCACGATAAATCTATATGGAAGTATTTATATGTGCAAATAGGAAAAAAAAAAAAAAAAAAACTTAGATAATTTAAGAGGATTGGCTTGAATAGAAGGAGCTCTAGTCGTTTAAGCAAGTAGTCTCGAATTTAAGTCTTTATGTATGCAAAAAAACCCTTTGGATATTTGCTCCCGTCTTATACATCCGATAGAATAGCGAAAAATTAATTAAGATATTTAGACTCGAAATGCCTTAAAGGATCTAAAGAAAAATAACTTCGACGTACATATAAAACGTGATTGAAAATATAAGAGAGGTGAAAAAAACCATGAAAAGAATAATAATAAAAAGTGCATTATTAAGTTTGAGTAAATTATAATTTAGTCTTTATTGTTTAATAAAATTAATGAATTGGTCCTTATGGTTTTAAGAGTTATATATTTTAATCTTTATATTCTTAAATTATCCGTCAATTTCAAGTTCTTCTCCAATCTATTTTTTCTTTATTTTTTGAAAAAATATTATAAAGTAAAGAGAAGTTGGAAAGATGCAAACTTTTATTCAGGAAAGAAAGCATTTTTGTGGTTAAAAAAACTACTAAATTGAGAGAGAAAAAACTCCAGGGACTGAATTATAATTAATTCCATTACATATCTTTTCTCTATGTTTCTAGTTTTGTGTTTTTTTATTTTTTATTTTTTATTTTTGTCAGTAATTACCAAGAAAGCCCAAAAAAATAACCTCAAATGGGAAGAGGGTAAAACAATTATTAATTAATCAGACTTATGTTTTTCCTTTATTTTATTTTTTCTCCATTCCACAGCATATAAGGCAATCAGCTCTCACCACTTTCCTTTTAAACAAATTCACAAAGATTGTGTCGGTGAATTTGGATTTTTCTCTCTTTCTCTCTATAACCTTATAGACAAATAAATTAAAAAAGAAAAGAAAAAAAAAACCCTCTCAAAGAATTATTATCAACGTGTAAGCTCACCCAAATGGCACCCCTTATTCTCCGAGAAACCCCTCAAAACGTCGCCTCTCTGCTCCCATCTCAATCCTAACGCTTTCTTTCTTCCATGAAAATTGATCAAGAAGTCGAACCCTGAATACCCTTTTGAAAGAACAAAAGGAGTATTTAAGAACCAATATTGGGGTACTGAGGTTATTAATTTTTTTTCCCCTTTTTTTGTGTTGAGATGGAAAGTGGAGTAGACAAGGAGATGGCAACAAGAAAGAGAGGAGGGATAGAAAGTGAGCGGCAATACAAGGGGATAAGGATGAGGAAGTGGGGAAAATGGGTGGCTGAGATTAGAGAGCCTAACAAACGGTCAAGGATTTGGCTTGGTTCCTACTCAACACCAGTAGCGGCGGCTCGTGCTTATGACACCGCCGTTTTTTATTTGAGAGGACCGTCGGCGAGGCTCAATTTTCCTGAATTTTTGGCTGGAGAGAATTTTGGCGGCGGTGGATCATGTGGGGACATGTCAGCTGCTTCTATAAGGAAAAGAGCGACTGAGGTTGGAGCTCGTGTGGACGCTATTGAGACAGCGACGTTAAACCACCACCACCACCACCACCCGCATCATCATGATGACCGTCAAAGAAATAGTAATAATAGCAGCAGTAGTAATGATAACAATGAAACGGTTGTTGACAGTGGAGAGTTGAAGTCACGGCCAGTTGACTTGAATAAGGTGCCTGACCCAGAGGATTCCGATGGAGATGAGTGGGGGAGGAGTTAGCCACCGTTGGTGGTACGGTTGGTTGCTAACATGGCCAAAAAGGAGGTATGCTATATGGCTGATCAAAATCATGAAGCCTTATTTGTGGATTAATCAAATTTAGTGCTAGTAGTAGTATTATTTTACTTACTAGTCGTCAAGTAGTTTAATTATGTTTTCCTCTTGTTAATTTTAGCTAGGGTTTTTCTTCTTCTTTTTTTCAATCGATCAAACTTTTTTTCTTCTTTTATTATGGTAATTAAGCAAATTTTTGTAAATGTAAATTACTCAGTGTATGACTACTCATAAGGATGTTTTATGTTTCAATTATATTATTATTATTATTATTTTCTATCATCTTGGTTTCTAGAGTATAAGATAGCTAGGATTCGAATTGTGACTTCTTTATATTTCCTATAAATGGAAGGCCTAGATATTATTGGATGAAAAGGACAATCAGTTATCCTTCCTTGTTTTTGTATTCATGGGAAATGGATGCAACAGAGAGGGTAGGAGGATTTGCCGACTTGGCAATTTTTTTTTTTTTTTTTTTTTGGAGAGAATGGACGTTGAAGTGAAGAGCTGGGGAACAGGTGGTGGCCTACGTAGCCAGCAGTTGGTGCAAATAGCCATGCTAACCACTAAAGTTATAACTACTAAAGTGATTAGATTTTGAGTTAGGTATTTTCTGGTTCTGCACTGTCGCTTAATTTGAGTTGTGGGCACCGGGGGATAAAGAGCGAGACAGAGGAGAGTGATTGCTATCCTGCTAGTGCATGATGACTATGATAATGGGGTAAATTTGATAGGTTTCGCTACCTGAGATTATCCACTAATTGTCAAATCGCGGGTCCTGTTTTGTTAACAAGAAAATTAGCATCCGCTTTAACCCCTAAACACGCGCAGATCCATTTGAAAATCGCTGAGAAATAACTTTCCTTCCACCGTCAGATAGTAGAGGACAAACAATTAGGCCACCATTAGCGGATAAATGTTACTGATTCTTACATCAATAATAGCTTTGTACTCTCCAAAACAATTTCTACATGATGCAAATTCTGAAGGACAAATAATTGTAACTATCTCATGTTTGTCGACAAGTGCATTTAGTTCCTTGGCCGTGGTAAGGGAATCATCCCTGCCATGAATGATATCCCGAAAAAGCAACAGACATGCATTGGAATGAGCTTGAAATGACAGATGTTCAGCAATGACCGCAAAAGATGGCGAAAGATTCCAAATCTTCAAGTTTATGGGTTTGCTGTCTTCGTCTGTTTCCTCATCACATCCAAATGTTCTGCCTCCTATTCCTAGACTAGATGTCTGTTCCTGGTCATTTGAAGGCCTTCAACAAACACTACTTTTGGCCAACAGAATTGGATTAACATCAAAACAATCAACAAAATAATATACCCTCTTCAAATTTTTTTTTTTTTATTACTATGTTAAGGCTCTTCCATAGTTCCACTATTAGGTTCGGCAATCAGTATAGCAAAGGACGAAGCGCTGTCGTCACCACTTTTAATTCAACCACCATCCACAGTTAATGCGTGCTGGTGGCTTCATGCATCATAAATCTGAAAGAAGCCTCCATCACGATCCTACTAGAGTAACAGGAAGAACTCATTTAATATACAAAGCCATATCCATCTAACATTTTAGAGTCTTTCAGTTTCTGTCCTCTTTTTAAAGGAATAATTCATCACAGAAGGGGTAGAGCTGCGGAACCACCAAGAATTATTGGCTCCTATAGTCACTGATCCTTGTAATTATTACTGGTACTATACTAGGAACATAGAAAATGATGTGTGATACAAACATGAGCCAAAATTGTACGTATAAACCAGCTAAGCTCTTCCAACCTTTTTTTTTTGGCTGAGCAAACAGCTCGCTGAAATAAATTAATCCCAGGCCCATCTTGCCATGTTGACTGTTGCATTCTTCCTTGAAGAATAAATATGTGGATACTATGCTTTCCTTTCAGTGGCATGTTTTATTTGTAAAGCAGCTCTTACAACATTTCCTCTTGTGATAATTCCAACCTTCAAATGTGAGCAGAATGGTCAATTAAATCACCATTAAACGGGGTTAGAAGAGATTAATCATTATAAAAGTTGACAACTCTTACCAGCTTGCCGTCAGCATCTACAACTGGAAGTCTGCGATATTTTGTCTCAAGTAATAATCTGGCATTAGATAAACCGTGTCAAAAGTTAATTTTAGGTCCCAGCTTTTCAGAATAAACAAAACGAATATTCAAAATGATCAGGAAAAGAAGTGTAAAAAGAAAGGCTGACAGTACCTTGCAGCATCCTCAAGATTGGTAGTTTCCCGAACGACGACTGGTGCTGGTGTCATCAAGTCACCAACGAGCTTTCCATTGGTTTTACTGAGCAACTTTTGCACCTCATTAAAAGTCTGCAATCATCATTTACTATATTGTATCAGAGAAGTACATGGTTGGATCATGTGCAGCATCTTATCAACCATTAAGCAACTTGAGTGCCTGCAACAAACAGAACCGTGCTGCTTTTCTAACTTCATGGTGTCAAGATGGTCTTCAGATTTTATCGTTAAGATAAGGTCAGGAAACACAGTTTTTAACTGCCAGGCTAAGAGAAAATGACTCTTGCAACTTATTTCTGTCTACTGAAATTTCATAAAGACAATCCAATTTCTACCAGCTTTTAGGTGAACAGACAAGTACTAGCAATAGAGGAGCTTCTGGCGTTTAAACTTTCACTAAAGAGCCAGAAGTTCATTTTGTTGACCAGAGGCCTTTTCTGTTGAAACATGATATGGCTGAGAATTACTTGATAGACTGCTAGAAATGCAGATTCCAGCTACTATAAAAGTGGGGGAAAGCTTTCTAAGACAGTTGAATCATTTGCAACAAAACTGTAGCCAACAATGAGCATCAAAATGGCAAGAACCAACAATGCAACAATATATATATATATATATATATATATATATATATATATATATAAAGCTAACCCCAAGTCATCAAAAAAATTTAAGGCACTCTTGACACTTCTTTTTTTTTTTTTTTTTGGGGGGGGGGGGCCAAGGTCAGATCTGCAAGAATCTCGAACACAAGTCAATCAAATTTAAACCCAGCAATGTCAGGCTTGTGTGTATGTTTTCTTCTTCTTTTTTTTGGTTGGGGGGTTGCTCGAAGGGAAAGGGTAAAACAATAACATTCTCTTGCCCATGCATGGTTAAAAAAAACAAAGAGAACAGAGAGCAGCTGGACAGTAACATATGTTTCCCTAAAGAAAAATTCAAGACTTCAGGGATTCACGAAACAAAGTGACTACAGCTATCTTTGAGGTTGTTTCTAATTGCTGACAAAGAAAGAGTTCAGATACCCAGCAATATACACTAGAGGTAAGTGAGCAACTTCTAAACCAATCAGGAAAACTTACCAGATGCCCCGTACCCTGGGGACCTTATCTACCAGTATGAGTTGCATTATTCGCACTAATGCCCTCAACTGTTATCCAAGGCACTAAAGAACTGCCAAGTGATTTGAAGCTCAGTTGAAGTCAAGATTTCAGTTTGAAGTCTTGAACTTAGCCATTAATTTTTTTTCCCATCCCTATCCATTTAGACCTAATAGAATCAATTCTGAAAACTTTCACCCATCAGTGGAGCACGTGTTAACACTCATCTTGTCTCCTTGGAATATGCTAGAAAAGCAGAATTCAGACTATACTTGGGAAACAAACGTCAAAAGGTGGTGATAACAATAAATGAATGTCTTTGCATAGAAAGCGTGCAAGTCTGGAAAAAAAAAAAAAAAAAAGTTCTCACATACTTTCCAAGTGCTGTCAACTTCAGGGAACATGTTAGTTTCAGTTCTTCCACCACCTAGTTGAAACATTGAAACAAATCCCAGATGTGAAATGTAAAATTACAAATTTACTCATATCAAGCATCTAGTCTGATGCCAGTTGCTCATAACTTAAGCTGTATTGTTGATAAAAGAAATTGCAAGAACATAGAAGGACAAAATGAATTGTTCTTTTCTAAAACAAGAAAATGAAGGCTAAGATTAGCTTAAGAAGTTTAAATTACCTGATATGGAGTCCAATGCTAACAAGTCATAATCTGACACAAGACCAACCTACAATAGCAAAGAACATTCAAATCATTCTCACAACTTAATTGTCTTTCCTCATAAGAAACTTTCAAATAAATTGCACCCATATGTTATAATCATAACCCCAGAAAGGGATGGTTGGAAACAGTCTAAAAGAAGGCATAAACATTCATACAGTGACACCAGCACATTAAAAGCAATAGCTTAGAAATGTTGGTAAGGAGATGTAAGTATCTATTTTGATGCATCCAGACAATTTCTTCATCATTCGATTGAGTATTGTTTACAGTTTTCAAAGCAAGTTTTGCTATTGCTCTTCTTCATCTTAAAAATTATTTAGGTCAATGTTTTTAAAGTTGAATAACAGCACCCTAAACTGGTTGGAGTTAGGGGCGTAAAAAGCTAAAGCAAAAGACATTTGTCAATTGTTAGTCTAAGCAGCAAAGACTGACAGTGATTCTCAGATTGGGGACCCTGAGCCAATTTGGATATTCAATATCCAATACCTTGGCTTGCCTTTAGAAAGCAAGATAAATAACTTTTTTTAAAAAAAAAGAATCCAGAAATCAAATGCTAATAGTTAGCTTTCATTTGAAAACCAAAAAGTAATAAAAAACAGAAAAAGAAAAAAAGAATCTACATTATTAATAACTAGACCAACAAACGAAACAGAAAGTCAAGGGGGGTTACCAGTTTCCAGTCATCATCGATCACAGGAAAACCAGTAATTCTATGTTCAACAAGAGTCTCCAGTGCTGTTGGCACAAAACACTACACATTAGGTATTTGAAAAACAATGGTGTACTTCATAAATAAATTTTAGAAATCTAACATATACCTTCATCGACAGTTGTTGTTGGTTTTACCACCTGCAAATCCTCTTTCGTTGTCATAAAATCACCAACTGTATATACCCCACTTTTTGGCTGCACATCAGCAAGTCCAAGAAGAACAATCATATATAGAAGAGCGATAACTATCGAACTACACTTAAAGGTGCAAAAACATCTCAACCGCATAAAACCATATTGAATATGCCGTAAATTCTCATTCTTTTGATTGGAATTTTTTTGAACAGCATAAAGCACAACTGGATTGCCAAATTTAATTCTTTTTCCACCATACTACCAAACTGAATGACATTCTCCAGTAAAGTATTCCCTAACATCGACACCATTCACCCTAAAAAACACAACTCTCAAGATGGTTTTCACACCACAATCCAAATCATATCTATAGACAACACACACTGCAAATGCATGCACGAGGATAAGATTAGTTTCTTTATCAATTAAGAACACAAGGCGCTTTATCAAAACCCAATTGATGCATCCCAACACTCATACTTGCTTCCTATCTCCCACAACAAGCATTAAAAGAATCAATTTCTTAGTTAAAATCTCAATGGGTTGATTAAGCTAATTAGCTATAAAAACAAACCAAAAGAAAAAAAAAAAAAAAAAGTAACAAACTTTCAAACAAATACTGAATTCCCAACTAATAAGATAAAGAAATGATTAAACAAAGTGGATAAGGGTGTGAGAGTGTTACAGAGTTAGCCATCAAGGTGCCACTGCTTGTAGCTGCTATAAAGGAAGACGACCTGCGAGGCCAAGAAATGGATGATGACAATACAATTTTCGGTCCAGGAGAAGAAAAGAGAAGGCACGGCATCTGGTGACTGAGGGAAGCAGCAGATGCTGTGGAGGTGGCCCGTAGGCGCGTGAGAAGGAGAGAGTCAGGGTGTAGAATCGAAGCTTCCATGTGTCGGCTCTTCTTGGATTGTTAATTTTGGAGAAAGAACCGATGATGGACTTTGAGCAGGGTCGGAGTCGGAGAGGAGAAGCGAGGGCACGGTAAACTAGAGAAGCGTGCCTCCGTTATTTTATTCTTTTGTTTGACGTGCAGGTGGAGAAGACATAGATAAAAATAAAAGTGCTAAGCTAATGAAACCGACCTATCCTCTATGTGATATTTTAAGACCGAACCTGGCTCTTTTTTTTGGTATTTGTTAGAAGGCTAAATGGTTAGCAATTAAAGATTAAACAATTAAATATTAAAGAAAGATATTTTGAAGAAAAAAATAAAATATTTTTAAATTTTTGCTTGTTTTAGCTCTTAAAAAAATTAAATTTATGCATTCGAATCCATAAAAATCAAACAAAAAGTTCAATTTTAAATAAAAAATAATTAGAAGAAGTTTTAAACTAAAATTATAAATTAAGAAACTAATTCTCAAATAATTTGAAATTCAAAAAAAGTTTATACAGTTTATCATCATCAAAACAATTAGTTTAAAGAATTGGCTTTGGCCACTATTTTATTAACGATTATAATAAACAACGAGTAAAAATTAATAATATATATAACTTCGTAAATGATATGGTAATATAATTTTTCTACATGTTTGTCTTATCCGCTTAATTTCTTACACCCTCTTAAATTTATCACAGAGAACGTCTTTATTAATCTTAGTTTACTTTCAGGTAAATATATACATATATATGTACTCTTTCATTGGTCCCAAGAGGAAGTTTCACTTGGTGGGGAGTGAGGTTGTTAAGGGACATGTTCAGCATCAGAACTTAGAGGTTTCTGACCTAAGAGTGTCTCTTCAAAGACAGCATGGTCTAATGTTTCCCGTTTGGCCGAAATATTTAGTCCTTGTGGCTCTTTATTTTATTATAGAAAAATGAATTTTTTTTTTGGTATCCAATAGTTGATTTCTCATGATTTACTATCCAATTTTAACTTTTTATTTGTTTTGATATCCGAGTTCATCCGAAATCTAATTTTGCTAATGTGTCCGATGATATCCGCCATATGACACTAAAAAATAGCATCTAGCAGATCAACCTTGTCACGTGGCAGATCAACATTGTTATGTCAACACCTCATACTTTCGGATAGCTATGGACACTAAAAAAAAATTAAAAAAAAATAAATCAAAGGTTAACCATTGAAAAAATAAATAAATAAATAAATATTAGGTACCAACAATGTCGTTTTTTTTAAAGAAATTTATTACCTTGAGGTTGCAAAATTAGTCTAATAATTTCTAATAAATATTTTTTATATCATGCTTGTGGCATTTTTTGTAATTTATCAATTGTAATTTTTAGTCCTTTGTAGTAGTTAAAAATTACTTTTAAAAAATTATAAACTCTTTTACATATCTAGACAAAATTAAAATTATGTCCATTAATCCAACTATATATAAGCTCCAATTAAGATTAAATTTAGAAACATAAAAGACATATAAGATTCAATTATGATTGTCATTTGCGGAACAAATGGTTGGTCAATGGAGAAAGTTACAAAAAAAAAAAAAAAAAGGAATTGCTTCTTCTATCTAAGGAGAAAACTAACCAACATATCAAGTGTGACATAAGTTTGTTGTAGCTAATAACTTGCTAAACTTCTTATAATAAGCTAAGATGAGATAGAATTGACATAAATAAGTTTAGTGATCAAGCTTTTTAATTTGAGCATTTAAAGTATAATATTTTTTTGTAGCAGATGACGATAATGATATAGGTAATAAGTAAACTTTAATTAAGCTAAGAAGGAAATGCATTGTTAAAACTCGCTTGTGGAATTAGCATAATAACAAGAAAATATGCATGCACGTAATTACCGATGTTTTTAGAATTTAAAATTATATGACTTTTAATATAAAAAAGAAAGTTTTGAAAGATTATATATATATATATATATTATGAAAGCATAAGAAATGCATGAAATCTATTTATAATAAAGAAAAATATATATCGGATTACAAGAGGGGGATAAATATTTGGTATGAAAAAAATTGAAATAGATTTCTTGAAAAAAGTATATTTTTGGTGTCCAATCATTGATATTTTTTTCTAGTTAGGTGTCCGATCTTTAATTTTTTTTCTATTTTAATGCCTAACTTTTGATTTTTTTTTTTCTATTTGAGTGTCTATAGCTACATGAGAGTACAAGGTGCCGACATGATAGAGTTGACTACCACGCGAGCAGAGTTGATTACATATGGGAGAGTTGACTACCACATGGCTTTTTTGACTCGCCATGTGACAAATCTCACCGGACACGTTAGTAAAATTGGATCTCGGGTGAACTTGGGCACCAAAAAAATAAAAAATCAAAGCTTGGGTAGTAAATTATGAGAAATCAATGGTTGGTTGCCAAAAAAAAAAATCAAAAGTTAGGCACCTAAAAAGCTTTTCTCTCTTTTATTTATTTATGCATTAATTAGACCTTATGATGGGTTAAATAATTATTTATTTTGGATTTTTTTTATTATTTGGACTTGGACCAATTAAATTATTCCTCGTATTTATTTTCTTTATTAGCCAAATGTGTGGCCTAGTTTATTGAGATTAGATTATTATGTTTAGATTTTTATTTTATTAGGAGTCATTAAGTTATATGCATCCCGATTTAATATGGATATTCTAAATAAAGTCTTAATTAAAGGTGGATTGAATGAAAGAGTCCTTTTCTATTTCTTTTAGATGAATATTAGGAGTGGTATTTAAGCAATTTTTTGCTTCTTTGCAAGAAATTTTTTCTCTAATATTATTGAATAAAATTGAAGATTATTTGTATTTTTTTTCTCATACTTAGACTAGCTAATGTTTTATGAAACACATCCTTAGAGTGATCAATTAAGGTAGGCTTTTGATCAATCACGTTCAAGCTTTTTGTGTTGGTAATATTTGTATCTATCGACATTTGACATACACATCTCGTAAGTTCTACTAATTTTCTTTGGAGTGGTGGACTCTACATTAAGAAAGATTATTTGGACTTGCATTTTTTTTTATTTTAATTGTGAATTTATTCGGGTTTAATTTGGATTTAATCCTAGGTTGACTAGTGTCGGTCTTAAAGCACTTTAGACAGCTAAGGTTGTTTGTTTGAGCTGAAATTTTGTAAGTCATATTGTTTTGACCCATTTAGGTTATATTTAAAAATTTAGAAAAATTCAAAAATAGAAGGAGTCATTTCAACATCTATAAAGGTTTTTAGAAATTAGGATTTGCTATGATTAATATTTAGGCATGGCCTTGTTAGGTTATTTGAGTTGCTTAATTCCTTGAGGTGTGTTTATTGATTTTTGGGGTTGAGTGACTAAATTTATGTTTGATAGTTTCGGCCGAGGTGTTCTTTTGTGTGTTTGTGTTGTGAGCTTCCATAAAGTTAAGGTATCTTCCAATCTAGCATTAGTTTTGTATCGAATTGAGGATGTTCTATTTGGTGCATTGGTTTATTATGGAGATGTATGTTCAAAAGGCTTTGAGTGTAGACATAGCTCTTGAAGATTATTAGGTAAGGTGAAATATTTGTCACACTTGTTGCACATCATATGGCATGGAGTGTGAGTTAATCATTGATGGAGGTAGTCTGTGAGAACATGGTGTCTTCATGGATAGTGAGAAAATTGAACTTAACAATGGTTGATCATTCCAATCCATATTCCTTGACTTAACGAGTGAAAGAAAATGAGATTTATGTGTAAAAGAGGTGTTTAGTATTGTCTTATATTGATAAGAAGTATATTTATAAGGTATGGTGTAATGTTGTACCTATGGACGCTTGTCACTTATTACTAGAGAGACCTTGGCGTATGATCATAGGGTCATGCATGATGGCTTCGGGAATTCCTATGCTTTCACCTTCATGGAGAGAAAATCACATTGATGCCATTAAAAAAAAAGTTTCAACTAGTTGTGTTAATACACAAGAGGGGTTTAATTCTAAATCCATATTCACGAAGGTAGTAGAGGAGTTGAAGTTAGCTTGGGCACTCGTCATGGAAGAAAATGAAGAGGAGGATAATATTCTCGAAGGAGTCAAGCTATTATTGAAGTAGTTTGTCGATAAGGTGCCCGAGCAGATTTCTAGTATATTGCCTCTCATACAAAATATTCAGCATGGTATTGACTTTATTCCAAGATTTGTTATTATATGTAGACCAACTTACCATATGAGTCCACATAAGTATGAGGAGTTACAACGATAGGTTATAGAGTTGATGGAACAAAGGTTTGTAAAGAAAAGTGTGTGTTTATGTGTAGTTCCAACCTTACTAATGCCAAAAAAAGGGACTTAAAGGATGTGTATCGATAGCCAAACCATCAACAAAATTACAATTAAGTATTAGTTCCTTATACGGAAGCTAGATGACTTGCTTGATTAGTTATATGGTCCTACAATGTTTTTCAAGATTGATTTGAGGAATGACTATCATTAAATTTGGATGAGGTTTGAAGATGAGTGGAAGAATGCTTCTAAAACACACAATGGGCATTATGAGTAGATGATTATGTCGTTTTAGTATCAAATGTGCCTTATACTTTTATACAATTGATGAACAAGGTATTTAATCCATTTTATTGGTAAATTTATTGTTAAGTATTTTCATGATATTTTGATATATAGTGCGAGTTTGAAAAACACTTTGAGCATTTAAGGTTGGTGATGATGGTGCTGAGGGAGTATAATTTTTATCTTAGCCTTAAAAATTTTCACTTTGCACTAATAAGGTAATCTTTTTAGGCTTTGTTGTTTTAGGTAGGGGAATTGAGATGGACAAGAGAAAGATTAAATCTATTCTTAATTGGTTAGTGCACCATGATTGAGGTGAAGAGTTTCCAAGGCTTTGTTTTTTTCTATCACATGTTCATCATGGTTTTAATACCATTACCACACCTATCATTGAGTTATTGAAGAAAAATAATTTTGAGTGGACCCTAAAGGCTTAAGCGAGGGTT